ACCCTAAACCTAAACCCTAAAAGCAGCATCGTTGAAGTCCAGCCCCCGATCTGCTCGCCCGACGTTGCTGCAGCCTTGAACAGATCTTGCTAAGACAAACCCTCGGCTTCAGGACCATGTGGGACGGCTGGAGGGTTTTGGGTTTAGGGTTTAGGGTTGAGGGTTGAGGGTTTAGGGTTTAGGGTTGTCGATGCCTCCAGCCAGCTGTAGTGCAGCAAAGCGAAGTTAATGCTAGTTCCACAGAGTCCTGTCGCACATGGAAAGTCTCCGCTCTTCGAAACAGCATCCCTTGCCACATCGACTGCGTGCTGTCATACCCTGTCATAGTCTCAACATCATGCTTCGTTGTGCAGCGTATATACCGGCATGGCCTACACGTTTCTAGCGCTTTCACCGCCGTTTTCCCTAAACCCTGAACCCCTAAACCCTAAACCCCTAAACCCCGAAACCCTGAACCCAAAGCCCTAAACCCTAAACCCTAAACCCTAAACCCCTAAACCCCTAAACCCGCCGTTTTCCCTAAACCCTGAACCCCTAAACCCCTAAACCCTAAACCCCTAAACCCCTAAACCCAAAGCCCTAAACCCTAAACCTCTCTCCTGACGGCACGCTCTCGCAACATAGCGGCTCCGTTGAGTCTCTCACAGACGCTGGCTTTCAAAGGAATTCTGAAAAGGTGCGTCATCGGGGCTTAGGGGTTTAGGATGTTTTGGGTTATAGGGTTTAGGGGTTCAGGGTTTAGGGTAACCCTAAACCCTAAACCCTAAACCCTAAACCCTAGGATGTTTTGGGTTATAGGGTTTAGGGGTTCAGGGGTTTGGGTTTAAGGTTTAGGAAGAGTTAACGGCCGCTCCAGGGACTTCCATAAAAGAAACCATAAAGCTACAACGTACCATACAGGGTACAGGGTTTAGGGTTTAGGGTTTAGGGTTTAGGCGAAAATTTGGATAACTTACTATTATAGCCTTTTTTTTATATGAAAGTATGCTATAATATGTCATGATATAGGGTAATATGTTATAGTATGCTAGAATATCCTCTAATACACTGGCATGCACTATACTATAGTATATTCCACTACAATATACTACAATATACTATAATATATCTCTATCTGCCTCTGCACGTAGAGTTGCCAAGGACTGGGGCACTGATCGAAGCGAAGACGCCGCCCCTTGAAGTGGACGGGGCAGGCGCGGCAAAAGAGTCAAGGATTGGGGCCCGAGGGGGGAGCCGAGTAATATTACCAGAACATACTACAGCAGAAGCCAAAAAGTTGGAAACTCAATAGCCTCAATCCTCAAGAGGAAAGGGATGGGGAATCCCAGCACTATTTGTCCTTCAGTCGGTTTCCAACTTTTTGGGGTTTACTGTAAAACATACGATAGTTTACTACAGCCCTAAACCCTAAACCCTAAGACTTAAACCCTACACCCTAAGCCCTGAACCCTAAGCACAACATACTAGTCCAAAAGATGTTGTGCGAGTTTTCTTTTGATAGTTGGTGCCTCGCCAGGTAGCTTCCTCGCCCTCGGCCATGCTGCGGGCTATTCGAACAATGCACCTTGTCCGCTGGACAACTAAACCCCT